CCCTGTGGGTAGATACTGGCTCATGGCCCAGCCGTACAGATTGTTGGCGTCGAGGTAGAGAATATGATTGGTTGGTTTGCTCAGGTCGTAGCCCTTCACGTATCGATTATTTGCTTTCGCGTATGGTTTGGTTGCCATGGAAATCCCACCTCGCAAGCCTTTCTCAATGAATAGGTGCACGTCGTAATCGGTGAGCAATTCCAAATTAATTCCGGTCTTTTTCAACAATGCATCCCATGACAGACCTGGGCTGGTGTAATACAATGCGGGGTCAAGTTGATATTGCTTGAAACACGTCCGCCTAAATGTCTCAAACACGTCGGCTAGCAGCAGTACATCTGTCCTCAAGTACAGGTTATGATAGTCACCCAGATTCTTACAGCCCAGTTTATTCCATACGTTAATCGCGCGAGTAATCGCGTCTTGGGATATTGTCGAGTCAGTCAGGTTGCTGTAAAATTCTCTGATGGGGTAGTCGGTCTTGGCGAACTTGGCCCAGCCATCCATGTACTTGTAGGGGTACACAGCCTTCCTCATCAGCAGGGTCGAGTCTCGGTGTCGGGTGTATCGATCGGTGATGGGGAAGGTATCGCTGGCTTTGACCAGACTGACTGTCGAGTGACGACAGGAGGAACTGAATCGAAGTCGATGAACCTCAGGCCATTCAAGCTGAAGGAGATGTATCTCTCCATGTTGTTGGGGATGCACGTCAGGTTGACGTCGACTTTCGCGATGGCCTGCATGATTAAGTGAGAGTCGTACCCTCTCAAGTTGTGGAAGACCACGGGGATGTTTATTGTCTTGGGGGTGATTCTAAGTTTGAGGTTGCACTCGCGTTGTGAGCGGCGCCTCTATACTTACCGGTGACGTGGCAGTGATCTCTCACCGAATCACCGTTCAGTGGGCTATCACACACGTGGCATAGAGTGCTGCAGGCATGAGTTTGGCTGTCGGCTTGGGTCATACGCATGGGAGCGACTGTATACAGTGCATTCCTAATACTTTTCTCTTCCTCCTGCAAACACTTTAGAAACTTTTCAGCCGCGTCGGGACCCCTATACACTACCGGAGCTTTCGTTTCCCCATCACATCGGACGACCACGTATTCAAACCCACAGGCCTCATGCTCCTGTGCTTTTTGTGTGGCTGGGGTACCCCCGGCAGACTCAATGGGTTTGACCAAGGCTTCAAAGTCGGCATAGATGACATAAGGCACAGACATTTGGTTCTTGTGGTTGGCGAATGTTAGGATATTGTCGCCTTCCTTGGGCATGTATGGCTGTCTGCCCCACACCTTGGCAATCCCCCCGATGTGATTCTAATAAATCAGCTCGTGTGAAGCCATGTAGGCACCGTTCGCAGAAGTGACTCTTTTCTCGGTGTGCCGATTGGTCACCTATAGCTAACCTCAGGCTATCGTCTCCTCTATTCTTGACATTGACCATGGCCTGTTTTTTCTTATAGTAGGGGGGCAAGTCTATGTACGACCCGCCTCTGAATGGCACATAGTTAGCTATGTCTAGATAGACATTATCGATTTTATCAACAACCCACCCGGACCCCATGTGTGTGTAGCGTTCTAGGTATTCTCGTATCTGCTGAAAACTGGTATCGATTGACGCGTCTATAGTCTCTGTGTGAGTCACAACTTCTTGTTTACCTCGGAAGTAAGGCTGAACGTACTCAGTGACCCCATTCCCCTGCTTATCGAGCGACATTATCAGCCTAGTAACCTCAACAACTGTGGTTTCCTCATTCTAGAGTAACCAATTACACCCCGCCGCCCCGCGGAAAGTAGTAGCCTGGGTCGCCGCGTTATCAATATATTCATGATCCAGCGAGGTGACAAGTACCACTACTCGTGGATAAAACACTTTAGCAGGCTGTTGTACAACCAATCGGCACACCGAGAAAAGAGTCACTTCTGAGAACGGTGCCTACACGGCTTCACACGAGCTGATTTATTAGAATCACATCGGGGGGATTGCCAAGGTGTGGGGCAGACGGCCATACGAGTCGACATGCCCAAGGAAGGCGACAATATCCTAACATTCGCCAACCACAAGAACCAAATGTCTGTGCCTTATGTCATCTACGCCGACTTTGAAGCCTTGGTCAAACCCGTTGAGTCTGCCGGGGGTACCCCAGCCACACAAAAAGCACAGGAGCATGAGGCCTGTGGGTTTGGATACGTGGTCGTCCGATATGATGGGGAAACGAAAGCTCCGGTAGTGTATAGGGGTCCCGACGCGGCTGAAAAGTTTCTAAAGTGTTTGCAGGAGGAAGAGAAAAGTATTAGGAATGCACTGTATACAGTCGCTCCCATGCGTATGACCCAAGCCGACAGCCAAACTATGAGCATCGCGCCACATTCGAACAAAGGTTATATCCTCGAGGTGGACTTAGAATACCCCAAGGCATTGCACACATTGCACAACAGCTACCCCCTAGCCCCCGAACGTATGAGGGTTAACCCAGACTGGATGTCTGAGTACCAACATAACTTGCTAGGTGGGCGGGTGGCAGACGTTGAAAAACTAGTGCCCAACTTAATGAATAAGACCAAGTACATCGTTCACTATCGCAACCTACAGCTGTACCTGTCGTTGGGTATAAGCTGACCAAAATACATAGGGTGCTTGTGTTCAATCAGAGCCCCTGGATGGAGCCTTACATCAGAATGAACACGGACCTCCGGAAGCTGGCCACCAGTGACTTTGAGAAAAACCTCTACAAGCTCATGAACAACTCGGTGTTCGGTAAGACTATGGAGAACCTGAGGAAAGCGTGACCGTGAAGCGGAAGCTGGATCGGTCGAATGAGGAAGACAAGCTCAGGAGACTGATAGCCGGCCCGGCATTCAACCGGAGCAAGATATTCACCGACGACCTGGTTGCCCTACACATGAAGAAAAGCCACATCAAATTCAACCAGCCTGTTTTTGTGGGGATGAGCATCCTCGATTTATCCAAACACCTGATGTACGACTTTTACTACAACGAACTGAAGAAACAGTACGGCAACAGGTGTGAAGTGCTGTACACTGACACGGATTCCCTGCTGATGGAGATTCGAACCGAGGATGTGTATGAGGACATGAAAAAACGCCTCGATTTGTACGACACCAGCGACTACCCCAAGGACCATGCCATACACAGCACGCGGTAAATAACAAGGTCCTAGGTAAGATGAATGACGAGTGTTGGCACTTCCATAGCCGTAAAGTACATAGGCTTGAGGCCTAAGATGTACTCCATCCTGAAGGCCGACAATGGTGAGATCCAGAAGGCGAAGGGTGTTAAGAAGTACGTGGTGAAACAACACATCAAACACGCCAGATTCAAGGGAAGCCCCTGTCCAAGACCCGCACCTTTAGGCATAAAATGAACACGCTTTAGAAGTGATGGGCATAGGATATACGGGCTGACTATAAACAAGACGTCCCTGTCGCCGATGGACACTAAGCGTTGGATAGCTATTGATGGGATAAACACGCACGCTGGCATCGGGCATGAAAAATTGAACCAAGAACATAGGTGTATATATAAATGTTGGAGGCTTAATGCGTGTCACGGAACCAGAGAAAGTTTGAGGCTATTTACTACAGCCCGCGTGGGTACTGGAAAGGAGCTAGCGCCGTACATAAGCTGGCTAAAATGGCGCAAGTACTCCCGGAGGAGGCCAAAGCTTGGCTTGAAAAACAAGCCCTGTGGCAGATGTATTTACCGGCACCACGCTACGTGCCTAGAAGGAAGTTCGGTATTAACATACCCAATAGCGTTCACCAGGCCGACCTCCTATTCCTACCCCACGATAAGAGGTACAAGTATGCCTTTACCGTCGTGGACGTGGCCAGTCGCTACAAGGAAGCCGAACCCTTAACCGCGAAAGACTCGGCCCAGGTAGCCCACGGATTCGAACGCATATACACGTGCAGTCCGCTGACGTGGCCCACAAAGCTGCAAGTTGACCCCGGGCGGGAGTTCATGGCTGTCGTGTCACACCTGCTAGACAAACACGATACCAAGGTCAGGCGTGGTGCTGCCGGGGCTCATCGCAGCCAAACCAGAGTTGAGAGATTCAATAGGACTTTGGCTGAGCACTTATTCGGACATCAGTATGCGAGAGAGATGGCCAACCCAGGGAAGTGATCGACTGAATGAGTAGCGCGGCTACCTCAGGTGGTGTCGGCCATAAACCACGAAACCACCCGTCTCACCGGCAAGAAACCAGCCGACGCTATCAAACTAAAATCAATAGTGGCAGAGTTGGCTGCACCATTGCATGGGAAATAGAAACAGATACCAGATAGGGCCCTCGTGAGGTACCTATACCAGCCGGGGGAGCACGAGGGTGATAGTCGTAAGCAAGCCACCGATCCGATATGGTCAGTCAAAACTTACAATATAGATAAAGTGGACATCAAAGCCGATGAGCCGAACTTGTACTACTTGAGAGATGGGCCAGGGAGAGGACTCGTTAGAGAGGAATTATTGATCATACCGTACGGCACAATGTTACCTCCTGTCAACGTGGCATAGAGCTATCATGTGATCAGGAAGTGGCACGTGGGGTCGGGAAGTTAACTGGGGATTCAAAAGTAGTAGATACGATGGGGGCGAGATCTAAGGGCCTGACAAAGCATTATTAATGAAATAAAGCTTTACAGCGACCTTTCTTGAAAGTGATCTCGTACCCCCATTACTTCTACTACTTAGCAACTAAATCTGAGGTTAATATATCCACGTAACAGAAACAGGTGAAACTATTATCTTCATTATAGCTCAGTATTAATCACAGCTCACAACTGACATTGACATTAACTTCAGAAAGGTGTGTCTTCTGAGGAGCAAACCTCAAGCCTCATACTTAGGTAGGAAATATGTTTTACGTTTCAATGAACATAAAATATACCTTCATAGATATGGCCTAGATACAACCAACACACACTCTATTATTTATACCATTACTGTTATAACATGCTATCGTTTTGCTGACAGATAACATCGCACGTGGAAAACCTGCCAATCAGAGCAGCACATGGACAGACGGTACCGGTACCGGTACATACGATGCTGGTAAAGCTGTTGACGGAAATGTCAGCACAGGCTTTTTTCATGGAAGTTGTTCACATACAGACGAACAGGGTGCTGGGAATGCCAGCTGGCATGTTCTTCTTGGTGGGACGTTCCTAATCAGCCGGATCACAATCTATCTCCGTAGTGACGGTAAGTTGTGTGACCATAATAAAGTGTATGACCATAAACACTTCCTGTCTGACAGCAGACTGATGAAGCTAAGGATTTGAACTGATGTGTAAAGTGGATTTACGTAACTGTTAACAGACCCGACAATAACTTTCCTTCGATAAAGAGTCCATGTTGTGTATGGAAAACGAAGGAACATACCACGCGAAGTTTCTTTTGTAAACGTCAGATGTATTTTGATTATTTATGTGTAACATATGCTCTATTGCAGCCATTGACCACTATCAAGCAATGGAAGTATTGGTCAACAACAGAACATGTAGAAAGCTACCTGTGACAGACATCAGAGATGCTCTAGCTCATCTGATAAGTAACCCTGTGACACTCAGCTGTATACAACCTATAGAGGGCGACACTGTAACCATTGCAATGGTGGGGCCTTACTTGGCACTATGTGAGGTGCAGGTGTTTGGTGACAAGAAAGGTAATAATACAAACAGACCAGACATGTTAAGTGAATAATTTCAAACAATGACTGTCCAGCTGGTTTTGTTTAAATGTATGGATAGTGAAAATATGTACATGTATATGTATATGTAGATATATGTAGAAAGTGTGTCTAAACATTATGTTTTCCTATATAGACTAATAGAGTAGAGGGAGTCGGCAGACGTGAATACAGAGTTGAGATCCTAAATAAAGTTGTTAACCTGAAACAAATTTTCTTCATATATTATGATGAATCAAAGTTTTCTGGGGAGCAGTCTGCCCTGTTATCAATGAGTTCTCGTGACTGAAATCCTGATAAACTGTTCTGCGATTTGTGGTTTAAGTTACGCCATTGTGCATTGTGTCCCTTGAGATCACAGCCAAACCTCTAACCATCTTGACCTGTCAGACCTACATTCTACCTCCACGAAATCACTCATCACCTGCGTCCCTCAACACTCAACACTATCCTAATTCCTCACCATCCAAAACCTTACCATCATCACTCAAACCCATCACCATTCAAAACCTTCACGACCCTAACACATAACCACTCAAACACATCACCACTTAAGCACATCACTACTCAAACACATCACCACTCAAAACCTTCACGACCCTAACGCATCATCACTGAAACACATCACCACTCAAACCGATCACCACCCAAATCCATCAATATTGAAACACTTACCAATCTATAACCTAACCCGTTTCTGACCTTATCTTCATCTGTTCTTTAATTCATGCCTCTGCAATGCATATATAGGAACTGGCTTATCGGTTCCGAAACATTGCTAGATATTTTATCAACATGATTCAATTGATAAATCACACATATTATTATGTGTCAAATATAACCATACCCTCAAAATGTTATTGTGGTTCAAAGTTCCCTATTTATAATGAGAAATGTTTTTCCATATGTTTACTTCCACAAGAACTGATATATATATACCAATGTTTATCAGTGTATGTCGTTCCAACGTAGATAATATTCAGATACTCAAGGTTGTGTTAAGTGACTTCTTTCTGTGTTGCAGCGTCTTGCCACTGCTTTAATGGGTGCTCAGATTTCCCCAACATTCCATGTTCAGCACCTTCATCGGGCCCTGTTTGCATACCACCATGGTTCGGACGCTTTTGCCAAATGGGTGAGATAAATAAGGATACGACCAGATTAATCAAATACCATATATGTGTTTTTGGTAATCGTCATACTGATTTCATTATTTTACTAAATATACATGCACTTCCTTGTAACATGTCTGTGTGTAGTCTCCACACCGATTTCCTTTTGTTTCGTGCACTTCCATGTAAACATATGCTGCAATGAAGAAGTGGTGTTTGTGTCAGTTGTGTATTCATTTACAAAGACGATTGCATAACATGACACTCAGTATATAGCAGTTTAAACCCCGACTCATATGAATGAAGTGCCATGCTTAACATACTGTAATGCTGAAAAAACCCTCTTATTGTTAACGATTAGCTCCTGCAGGCGATATAGTTGGGCAAATCTTCCCATAGGATACTTGACGTGTTAGTCAGTGGAACATACCGTGTATTTATCACTTTTATATTTCTTTCTTTCTGTGGGGAGAATCATTAGTGTTTGGTGTAGAAGCTATGTATGACTCTTGGTAACAATACATGAAGATATTTTTCAGTTTGATGCTCACAACGTCTTCACTCCTGCAACTGAAATTAATTCAGCACATTTTCTTGTCCATCTCCACAATCCGCCATGTGACGGTGGCTTGTAAATAATCGATCCTGAACACCCCGTAGATTTGTTTGTTTCTTACGAGCAGCATTTTATGTTTGGGACTGCGCCTAAAACACGTTAGTACTGACAAGCAATATATTGATGATGAATATAATCTCGCTCTTGTATCCTGTACCAGACGTACTACAAACAACCTTAATGACACACGAGTCAGCTTCTGGTATGTTTCTGTTCATCTGCTTACAGAAAACATTGCATTTCAAAAGACAGCAGCACAGAGTAGCAATTATAGTGAAGGCGGCATCCCCTACTGTGCTGCGTATGCTGTAGATGGGAACACTGACACAGACGTCAGTCACAGGAGTTGTTCACACACATATGAACCAGTTGGTGGGTCTGCCAGCTGGCAGGTGCTCCTTGATGATCATCAGATGTTCAACATCAGCAGGATCAGGATCTACCTGCGAGACGACCGTAAGTCATATACATTAACTGTCCCTGTTATACATACACATGCAAAGTTCCACTATATCATATAGATGTTAGTTACAAAACCAAATATATTATGCAAGACTAGGAGAAGTAAGATTGTAGTGACATTTAAACACTTTCATCACACAAGTTGACTTTTATATAATGCACATCAAATTACCACAGGGTGTTACAAATGTTTGCATGACTTTTATACTGAATTATAGAAAACAGTTGGTGTATATAAATATGAATGTGTAAACAATGTCATCATACAAGCTGACTGTTATATAATATCCAGCCAGCTGTTAACATCACTACAGGGTGTTACAAATGTTTGGGTGACTTCTAAACTGAAACATAGAAAACAGTTGATGCATTTAGTAAGTGAGTGGGTATCGTTTTACGCCGCTTTTAGCAATATTCCAGCAATATCACCAGAAATGAGCTTCACACATTGTACCCATGTGGGAAATCGAACCCAGGTCTTCGGTGTGACAAGCGAACGCTTTAACCACCAGGCTACCTCAACGCCCCTGATGCATTTAAATGTGTACAACAATATTAAATATCATTATTTTTGGTCGTACAACTATTGGCTTGTTTTGCTGAAATTATAATGTAAGCTTTCAGCAAATGTGAAAACAGCACCTTTGCCGAGTGTGCAGAAATGGTGCATATGACGAGCTTGTTTGGTTTAATAAAGTGTAAACCTCCAAAATCCCCGTTATTGTTTATGAAAAAGCAAGAGCATGAACATTCAGGGTGGGATCACTATTGTACGACACAACTGTGAGGTACAGAATTAGAACATCACCACCTGCACGCCCAATGCTATTCAACCCCATCAACATCGATTGGTAGTCCTCAATAGAACCAAAGCATAACAAAACCATGAATTACCCATTTACCTTTGATACAAACACAAACGTGTACTTGTATATCATTACAGTCCTAGAAGTACGTTATAAACCTTCCAAATAAATAACTTGACGTTTGGTAGGTTAGTTTGTTGTTTAACGTCGCACTCAGCAAAATTTCAGCTAGATATGGCGGTGGTCATATCACTGTCCAGGAACCTTGTACAGTATGGAGTGGGGTTCCCTCGATCATACCATCAAATCCGACGTCTCAGGCCGACGTTCATTTCGACGCCGTTAAACACGTTTGGGGTTATCCAGGAAACGCAAAGTGTCACTGACGTCTCCTAGCAATGTGACAATTTGTAGGGGCTGCAACCAACGAGGATGATAAGCACAAAGATCGCGTTGCAAAGATCGCGTTTTACTCAAGTAAAAGGACTTACTGCGCCCGGCTAGTGCAGGCCATGGGATAATTCTTGGTCTTAATCATAGGTTTTACAGAAATAAACGTTCTTGAATAGGATGTTTGGCAACACTATTCTTTGTTCCAATACTTGATGTTAACATATATTTTTTCATGATCCTCTAATCATTCATTTATATTTCATTTTTCCGTTTCATTTTATTGTTTCAAGATTTGGACCGCAACAATGGCCTGCAGGTGCTTGTGAACGGCGACCTGTGTGTCCCTGTGAGTGGAACACCTGACTGGTTACATGGACCTGTCACAAACCCTGTTGACGTCACATGTACCCACGTCATGAAGGGGAACAATGTTACTATAACCATAGCGGAGCATTTCTGACATTGTGCGAGGTTCAAGTGTTTGGTAAGTTTGATCCAATCGAGGTCGATAGTTCGTTTACTATCATGATATTGTTGACAGCAGGCAAGGTATATAATGAGAGAATTAAATCAATTCACCTATATTATTACCCAAGTTCAAAAACTGACTGACAGACAGATTTTATTCAGTAATGTGGGCCATATGGCCTATGTTACAATGTAGTTGACAGTATAAACTGAATCACGTTTTTCTAGATTTAAATAAATATACAGAAGTTAATTTATGACATTTTCATTTTGACAATTTAAAATGTTTGGAAGTGAAAGATACCCAGTATAAATTCAGCTTTAGCACAGTAATAAAGAGCCATATGGTGAAACAAACAATTAAATCACGTCACAATTCCAATGATGTCCACGTTTCACTACTTTGTTTTGAATTGCAATCAATTTATTGAGTAAGAGCTAGATGTTGTCTATTTCGCTCTTAGGGCAATTCTTCCAGATTCGTTTAGAAAATTTCACGCATCATTTCGTACTTGCGTTTTGTTGTGTGAAACAGCAAACAAGTCCGAGGTTGGGAAAAACTGTATGAAGTTGTATTGTAAAGGCAAATTCATTAGTGTCAATGTGAAGTCTTACCCAAAACCTTACAATCCACACTATGGATACTTATGAAACGTCCGAATTCTAAATACATCATATTTTTCAACTTAAATTAGAGAATAAGGTCCAAAGGTAACATCTCAAACTTTGGAATTGCGAATTTATATAGTACAATACGTACTACCATACAATCAACAGGTCATGATTGACAATGTATCTGTGATTTCATTTGACAAACCATGTACATGATAGAAAATGTAGCTAAACACAGAGACTTAATGCAAAGTTATCATCCATACAGAGATGACTGTCAAGGGAAGAGAAGCTCTTGCCAAAAACACTGTAACTGTCACATTTTGATTTTGGAAGGTAATAGGTATTCAAGACTAAGTGAATCATGATTTACAAACAAACCCCAGATCCAAAATCCCCAACGAGGTTATATTCTCACAACTCCTGACTTTGACTATATTTCCCGAGCTCTTTTTACGATAAAATAACGTATCCTGCATATCAAGGTTTCAGTGAAACATGTTCTACAAGAAAGTGATACATAACATGGAGTTTGATACCCATCGCTAGTTAAGACTATAGAAAGTATATTACGAACATTATCAAACTGAGACTGATGCATGTCCTTGTAGTTTGCAGTGATGGTTGGTTTGGCTCTGACTGTAGCAAGCTTTGCCAGTGTCTAGATCCATCTGAAGTATGTGACAAGGAGACGGGCTACTGTAGGAGAGGATGTGCTGCTGGGAAACAAGGACCAGGGTGTCAGCAAGGTTAGGTTTAGTCATGCTAATACTAGCTTTAAATTAGTCTGTCGTTCTAATGGCAAATTGACCATATAGAGCGCGTGGCCATATTATTATGTACAATTGTAATGCGTTGATATCGTGTAGTGCAATGCCCGATTTTAAAATACTGCTCCTGAAAACATCGTCTGGATATTTGGTGGCATTATATTGATGTAATATATCCTTTGAAGTCATTATGATATCCTGCATATAATATATAATTACGCATCCATCTGAAGATATTTTTCTTTCTATTGCTGCTATATTGTGAGTATCTTACATTCTTTACAGACTGTGACCATGGTCACTACGGGGTCAGTTGTTCCTACACGTGTGGTCAGTGTAGTGGGTCATCTGATTGTCAGAAGGTCGATGGAACCTGCACACAGGGATGTCAACAGGGTTACAGCCCCCCTTTGTGTAAAGGTGAGAATTGCATGAACATGATCTAAACTCTATACATTTCTTTGTTGTGTCAACAGCATTACGCAAGTATTGTAAGGACGTGGGAGGGGTGACAAAGAAACTTGTTAAAGTGTCATTGACCAATGAAATTAAAGTATTTTACATGAAGGTAAGATAAAGCTATTATATATATACATATATATAGTTGTATACTTATTATTTGTTTGTTATTTCCCCCAAAGGACCTACAACGGTTATTCTCATGTGAATGTTTACCAGGTTTTGAATATTTTCAGTGTGCAGTGGTCGGTGGTTTGGCACCAACTGTAGTGAACAGTGCAAGTGCCAGAATGAAACAGAAATATGCGACAAGACCACCGGGCACTGTACAAGTGGCTGCCGTGCTGGGAAGACAGGGGTTGGATGCCAGGATGGTGAGATGACGCTTCTTCATGGACAAGAGAAACATACATTATGTTGAGGCTGATTTGCCATAGATATACATGTATATTAGAAAACATAATAGGTGTGAAAACATAATGTGCTTGAAAACAACACCTTAAAATATTTTCCCCCTCATAATAAGACGTCTTATATAACACTGACCTCCACATCGCACTGGCATGCCCTGAGCTCACACAACATGGTGAACATTATTAACCCGATTAACGAAAAACTGTCTATGAGGCGCTAGAAGGTTGACAGGTATAGTTTTATTGACATAATACACTGTTAAAATTTAATAAACAATTCATGTGTATAAAAACAGACTAAATGAACGATGATCTACGTCCCTTACTTTACCACGTGTACAGATTGTGGCCTGGGTCAGTATGGGTTCAACTGTTCCTCCACGTGTGGTCAGTGTAGCGGATCGTCCGACTGTAAGAAGGATGATGGAAAGTGCACACAGGGATGCCAAACAGGTTACCTCCTCCCTTTGTGTAAAGGTGAGAAACATCTGTTACTGACGAAAAAGGTGAGTGAGTGAGTGAGTTTAGTTTTACGCCGCTCTCAGCAATATTCCAGCTGTATTGCGGCGGTCTGTAAGTAATCGAGTCTGGACCAGACAATCCAGTGATCAACAGCATGAGCATCGATCTGTGCAATTGGGAACCGATGACATGTGTCAACCAAGTCAGCGACCCTGATCATCCGATCCCGTTAGTCGCCTCTTATGACAAGCATGGGGTACTGAAGGTTCATTCTAACCCAGACCTTCACAAGTGGACGAAAAAGGTGTTTTATGGAGTGGCGTAATTATTCAAGTAATACATTCGTGTTAATTTGCCATTAACAAAATGTCAGTGTTTTTTTCAAAAGTAGTTGCCAGATTCTACTACTTTACACTTAGATCAATTAAACTTGAACTATTAGCAACTTTCCGAACCTTTACTTTGTGGAAAAATGAGTGAGTGAGTTAAGATTTAAAGTCACATCGGCAATATTTCAGCCATATCGTGACTAAAACTAGTTCTAAATTCATAATACATAAATGTAATATATAAAACCCTGTCAACGAAGGACAGTAAAACTACAAGATTATCACAGATTGAGTTAAAACTAGCTAGCATATATTTTTAAAAGCATTAAATAGTATTTTTGGACAATACAATGTAAGAATGGGCTATAGATCGCCAACAACTGGAGGCTGATCACCATACTAGGGACCATGGGGACTTACAGTGCCCTTGCTACCTGCATGGACCCTAACAGGATTTAAACCATCCCTTCAGCCACTGGCGATTGTAGGACAAGTTTAGCCGAATTTTAAAGGAACAAATATACTACGTTTAATAATCGGGTAAGCAAAGCTTTAACTTTGAAAGTTTTGGGACTTATGTACCCTCTCAGGAGGACAATAATTTTACGATACTTTAACCCCCCTTCGAGGATACAGCAACTAACGATCGCAGTTGTTATACTACCATGTTTAAAATACCATTTATCTACTTACAAATCATTTAACAAATCTAATTCTTTTAAAAATGCAAGAATTAAATGAGAACTGACATTAGTAAAAATCTTTCATAGTTCGTGATTTGAAATAGATATCCCTTGTGATGGAATATTCAACACAGTCCAGCAGGACATGCTTGACCGTGATTCTTTCATCACAAGGGATACAAACGGAGGATCCTCACCTTTTAATAGGTATTCATGAGTATATCTTGTGTGGCCAATACAACGTCGTATGATGACCTCCTCAAATCTTGACTGACAACCCAAGTAAGTGTAACCAATATAGGGTTTTATTTCATGCAATTTGTTAATACCTACTTGGGTGTCCCACTTCTTTTGCATCAGATCACGGATGTAGATCTGTAATCAGAGTATGGAATAAGAAGTGGTGTCACAGATTTAGTGAGTGCTGCCTTGGCAGCAAGATCGGCCATTCTATTCCCAGTAATGCCAACGTGGCTGGGTAACCAACAAAAGACGATGTCGCATTGGCCAGTAGCAAGCTCATTATACAATTCAATAATTTCTATTAAAAGTGGATGTTTACAAGAATTATTTTTAATAGCCTGAAGACACGTAAGAGAATCGGAAAAGATTATGTATTGTGTATATTTACGGTGTTTATTAATATATTTAAGAGCTGCTAATTTGGCGTTAGCTTCTGCTGTGAAAATAGAGCTGTTAGTTGGTAGTCGAGAAGATATTGTTTGGAAAAATGAAATTACCAGGGAAAGCCTGAAATATTAATATGACAAAATGAAACAATACAATGACAACAGCAGAAGAAGTCCAACGTTGTGGCATTGTTAGCTGTTCCCGGTCATGAATACGATGTGGGCAAATCCTTGAGTAATCTACAGTAAAGTCTTCGAAGCTAACTGCACTGTAGAAACAGTTTGACAGGAGAACAGATGATTTGGGTACGGTTGGTTGGTTCGTTGGTTGTTTAACGCTACAGTCAGCAATATTCCAGCTATATGGCGGCGGTCTGTAAATAATCGAGACAATCCAGTGATCAACATCATGATCACCGATTCACGCAAGTGGGATACGATGACTCGTCAACCAAGATAGCGAGCCTGACCACCCAGTCGCCCTTTACGACAAGCCTGGGTTGCTGAAGACCAGTTGTAACCCGGATGTTCACGGGTAATTTGGGTAAGGAGGCTGGACCTTGGCTTCAACTACTCAGGCGCTAAACAATCTCGATGTGGAGTTACTCGAATCCCAAACCAATAACTGATGGTTAACAGACCTTTAACGGGGGCGTGAGATTCTACTTTCTCAAAAGACGATCTGTGTATACCCAATTTCCTTTTTCAGTATAATATTATACAACATGGGTTAAAAAATGTATATAATTACTTCCTTTCAACACCTCTTCAATGACGCCACTCCAGACAGGTACACAGATGTTCACCGACAAAAAATTTCAGCTGTTGGATGGAATGGGTCTATCGTTGGCCTTCTCTGAGAGTCCCATGACAACAATACACTGGTTCCTCACATTACATAGCTCTGTATCGGGGGATAGGGGTTGGCGAGGGGGAGGGACTAGCAACTAAGGTGTCAAGAGCTGGGATGTAATGTGAACTGTACACAACCAAGGGAGGCCACTGTATATGAAGATCACCATCAATGTTACCAATTTCATCATTTTGCATGGTCATTTTCTAAATGATATGTTTTCTGTCTGTATTAGACTGTGTAGAAGGACACTATGGTGTTAATTGTTCACAACAATGTGGCTCGTGTAAAGATGACTCACCGTGCAATACAACCACTGGTGTCTGTGTGCTGGGATGTACAGATAACTTTGAAGAACCATATTGCAAATGTAGGTGACACTTTCATCCAATCATATGTATATTGCATTTCGTTAATAATAGTTATGATTTAATTCTTAGTAGTAAAATTAAAATTACAGCTCGACTATGACACATATTCTCTTTATTTATTTTAGGTTATTACAAGACGTCGCCTTTGTTTTCAAGTATTTGTTATATTCTCTAAATATAATAATAGTTTCAGTTTTTATGTGATGGCTGGTTTGGCACTAACTGTAGTCAATGCTGCTGAATACCTGCATACATTCGGAAATCTCATTCATAACTAGTTCATCTAGACCTGGTCGTGTAACTGAAATCTGATGGCATCACTGACTGTCTTCATGCATGTTATACATGCACATGCATGGCGATTTCTAACTGGGTGCCGTTCCACTAACCAATCTTACCCATGTCAATAGTAAAGTTAGGATCCAAAGTCGAAGTTGCTCATGACCAACTGAGAATCGCTAAAATCAATCGAAGAGAAACCAAAACGGTGGCTTTCATATTCTATGTGAAGAAGAAGAGCGAGCATTTGACCGTGAAATATTAATATGACAAAATGAAACAATACTATGACAACAGCAGAACGTTGTGGCATTGCTAGCTGTTCCCGGTCATGAATACTAGGTGGACAAATCCTTGAGTAATCTACAGTAAAGTCTTCGAAGGTAACTGCATTGTACAAACAGTTTGACAGGAGAACAGATGATTTGGGTACGGTTGGTTGGTTGGTTCGTTGGTTGGTCGTTTAGCGCCACACTCAGCAATATTCCAGCTATATGGCGGCGGTCTGTAAATAAACGAGTCTTGACCAGACAATCCAGTGATCAACATCATGATCACCAATTCACGCAAGTGGGATACGATGACTTGTCAACCAAGATAGCGAGCCTGACCACCCAGTCGCCCTTTACGACAAGCCTGGGTGGCTGAAGACCAGTTGTAACCCGGATGTTCACGGGTAATTTGGGTAAGGAGGCTGGACCTTGGCTTCAACTATTCATGCGCTGAACAATCTCGATGTGAAGTAACTGATGGTTAACAGACCTTTAACGGGGGCGTGAGATTCTACTTTCTCAAAAGACGATCTGTGTATACCCAATTTCCTTTTTCAGTATAATATTATACAACATGGGTTAAAAAATGTATATAATTACTTCCTTTCAACACCTCTTCAATGACGCCACTCCAGACAGGTACACAGATGTTCACCGACAAAATTTTCAGCTGTTAAATGGAATGGGTCTATCGATGGCCTTCTCTGAGAGTCCCATGACAACAATACACTGGTTCCTCACATTACATAGCTCTGTATCGGGGGATAGGGGTTGGGGAGGGGGAGGGACTAGCAACTAAGGTGTCAAGAGCTGGGGTGGAATGTGAACTGTACACAACCAAGGGAGGCCACTGTATATGAAGATCACCACCAATGTTACCAATTTCATCATTTTGCATGGTCATTTTCTAAATGATTTGTTTCTGTCTGTATTAGACTGTGCAGAAGGACGCTATGGTGTTAATTGTTCACAACAATTATGTGGCTCGTGTAAAGATGACTCACCGTGCAATACAACTACTGGTGTCTGTGTGCTGGGATGTACAGATAACTTTGAAGAACCATATTGCAAATGTAGGTGACACTTTCATCCAATCATAGTGACGTATATATTGCATTTCGTTAATAATAGTTATGATTTAATTCTTAGTAGTAAAATCAAAATTACAGCTCGACTATGACACATATTCTCTTTGTTTATTTTAGGCTATTACAAGACGCCGCCTTTGTTTTCAAGTATTTGTTATATTCTCTAAATATAATAATAGTTTCAGTTTTTCTGTAGTCAATGCTGCTGAATACCTGCATACATTCGGAAATCTAATTCATAACTAGTTCATCTAGACCTGGTCGTGTAACTGAAATCTGATGGCGGTCTGAACATCACTGACTGTCTCCATGCATGTTATACATGCACATGTATGGCGATTTCTAAGGTCTGGTTGACAGGGCGCTTGACCTCGGATAAGGTGAACCTGTCTAGAAGCAAAGGACTAAGGTTATGCCAGGTTACTTTGTGTCATGGCTGAATGATGAGTTGTTGACAAATGTTCAGTGTGAATAAGACTTTCCTAATGTGATTGATTTCCCTTTGAAAAATGGTGGTAAATGTTTTCGACATTTTTGTATCAAATGTGATGTTCGCAAATCATGTCTCCAAACCTAAAGAAGTAAGTGTTTAATCCTACAGTGAACTTTTGAACTGGGCCCTAATGTATGTAATGTGTCCAGTTTGACAATTGGTTGTTCTTGATGTAAGTTGAATATTTCCATGCTATAAAAACTATTTATGTACAAAATCTAATTCAAATCTGGCTGGTTTGACACGGTTCTTTAGGACTCTGTTGTGGAAAATGGACCATGAACACTCCAACCTCCATATGTTCATCACCACAAGAATTGTTGTAGCTGAAAGACAAGAAGTGTCTTCAGTCAAGTTGTCCCCTTTTGTGTGGTTACTCCTGAAACCCCATTGCTTCCACTTCACTGAATATTATTGCTCTACTATTACTAGAAACTAAAATAACAGATTTGTAAATTTAAAGGTAATTCAATATCTCGGCTACCTTTTTAAAGAGTATGCAAGCGTTTATGCTTCCACCACATTTCAAATGGATATACATTCCGAACGTGTTTATTCTAATTCATCCATATTCCGGAGCAGAGGAAATATCAAATTGTCCAGTCCTCCTATATGCAGGTCTCAGTGACACGTAATATATGAAATCCTTCATGTTCAATAATATTTATCATTTATATTAAGAATTAATGACTGATTACATTTTTGTCGCCAGGTCAATACGAATAATATAGCTTCAAGAACTAATATCTTAACGTGGGATACTTCTGTCCATTACCCTGGGTTCTGAAAACGTCTAGTGAGCTGGTGATATAGTTGGATATCCAATCAAGAGTGATTTTACTATTTATCTGTCCACATTATTCCAACAGCATGTGTCCAGGGAAAGTACAGTGTAAACTGTTCAGCCACCTGTGGTCACTGCAAGGATTTACCTGGGTGTGACCGGTCAACTGGACACTGTGAAATGGGATGTTTGCCAGGATACGCCCCACCACTGTGTGTGAAAGGTTGGGTTTGTGATCGTATCATGTTTACCCAAATTCTTAAACATGTACATTAAACATTGATACCAAAATAATGACGAATCTTTGCACAACCTTTTCTAAATTCTTTTCAAATAGTTTGATAATGTGGGTAAAGCATGAACTCGTATACAAGGTGTTGATTAATTACAGTTCGGAACTAACCTATTCTTTGAGCACCAGGCACAGGGCAACGTTAGAGCCTAGGGAATTAGTTTACTGGCAGAAACCGTCTTCTGTTGAAACCTATTGGGTTTCAGAATGTGGAGACTACACATACGGTCTGAACTGTTCTGGTGTGTGCAGCTGTCTGAACCAGTGTGAGGTGTGTGACAAGGTCACAGGGGAATGTGGAACTGGGTACCAGACAACAACAACAATAACAACAACAGCAACAGGAACAACAGAGCAATGTCAATGTCAATGTAATTGCTATCAGGATAATATATACCCTGACATTTGTACCAAAAAATCACTGTCAAATTGCCTGCAGCTATCTGAGCCAGTGTTCAAGGTCAGACAGCAATATAATTTGCCGACTAATATGCTGACGATATACTCTTTGCCATATATACCTCTCCCTCGCCTAAATACCATGATCATATTTTGAGCCGACACTTCATATCTGAGTGTCTACTTGATAAGAATGGGGCTCCACCTTGCGGGTATCGAGACAAGTCGCATGCTTGGAGAGCTCTGCAAAACTTTGAAATTACTAGTCTACTAATGATGACTGAAGTGTGAAAAGTGTTCATGAAACCTCCAAACAAACGAAGGAAGTAATGACGTGTGATTTGAACGCCCACAGAGCCAGAATAGGGTGCTTTGTGACAACCTATGTATCCTTCATGTTGAAGCGAGCCCGAAGACGATGCGGCATGTTGACGCACGTGCGCTGCATGCTTGGAGGGGCGAAGACAGGTTTGAAACTCTGTCTCTTCACTTCATTACTACTTATCCTGGTCAGCGGCGATGTCGAGAAAAACCCGGGCCCACCGAAAACTCCGTCTACACGGCAAAGCACGCTGGACGACGTGAGAAAGCCAGACGAAAATGTTGCAGACCTGATCAGAAATCTACGGTCAGGTATGTGCAAGGAGATAAAAGATTTGAGAAAAGATATGAATAAAAACTTTAAGGACTTATCAGGAAAAATAACAGAATGAGAAGAGGACGTATTCCGACTTTCAGAAGAAAATGCGGAACTCAGAAAAACTACACAGCAACTGAACGAGAAGATAGATTACATGGAAAATAAATCGAGAATGAACAATCTGATTTTTCACAATATTTCTGAAGAACGTAACGAGGCCACAGGCGCCACTGAAGAAAAAGTGCGTGAAGTAATTCAAGATATTCTGGGAATTGAGGAGCCGGTGGATATACTCAGTGCTCGTCGCATGTCAACAGGATCCCGTGGTAACCATCCGGTACTGGTGTCATTCAAGGACTACAAAACCAAGGCACTAATACTGAAATCAACATCTAAACTGCGCGACCATGATGTAAACATCTCGCAGGACTTCACAGAGAGAATTCGACAAGTGAGACGGAAATTAAAACCATTCCAGGACAAAGCACGGCAAGAGGGTAAATATGCAACCTTACATTTTGACAAGATTCAAATTGACAATAAATTGTTCAAACTTAATTCAAATGAAACAGAACTATACACTGTGAAATCGTTTCCATGGAAACCACGTACTAACGCCACAAACACTGATAGCTAGGGGTGTGGCCAAGGCCGTAATCAAAACCCAGGTACTTTAAATTTTGTCATCTGGAATGTTGAAGGACTGAAAGAAAATGAGAAATAACTGTGTTATGGAATTTATTAATAAATTTGATATAATATCTCTTGTGGAGACATGGGCGAATCACGATGATGTGTTCAGCTTTCCTGGATATCAACAATTCATCCAATTGAGAAGCAAAACTGAAGGGGACTCGGGCGGTATACTTACCCTAGTCAAGGACTATATCTCATCGCAAGTCACTCAACTTAAATCAGCGTCCAACAACATTCTGTGGATAAAGTATAACGGAGGACAAACGCCTTTATTCATCTGTACTGTGTACTTCTCCCCTGAGGGGTCTAGTGTGCACTCCGAGGAGGAATTATTTGATATCCTAGAGAATGATATGTTATGCTAAAAATCAGACTTTCCAAGCTGTGAGATAGTTATTCATGGTGACTTTAATGCTCGTACTGGTGATGGTACACTACCTGATTTTGTCGAAAACGATGATATCACCTATTTGCCAATCGATAATGACATGAGCTATAATCAAGACGATAGCCTGCCACGCAGATCACAAGACAGTGTTGTCAACAAGCGTGGACTTTCTTTGTTAAACTTTTGTCAATCAACAGGACTCCGGATTTGTAATGGTCGATTATGTTCAGACAGTAGTATTGGTAAAATAACCTGTTTTGCCAATGGCGGTCAGAGTGTTGTCGATTATGTTTTGTGCAATTTACATCGTTTCCAACTATTCACAAAATTTGATGTTTCAGATGAAATAGAGTGTACCCATTTACCTATAATCTATTCTTTAGCTCTCAACACTGTATTTGATTGCCATCGTGAAAATCTCACTGACCGTCTAAAGTATGTTTGGTCCGATCACTTCCATGGTGAATATGTAAACGCATGGCATAATCTTGAGGACTCAACTAAGAACGATTTTAACAACCACATTAGCAGCAATGATGTTGACAGTGCATTAAACTGCTTTCAGAATACGCTTGAAAAATGCTCTGGGAAACCCAGAAAATCGTGTGACAGCGCTAGAACAGTGCATAAGCGCAGTGACTGATTCGACGATGACTGTTTACACGCGAGATTGACAGCTCGTCAATTGCTGCGTGCATTTCATGCAAGCAATGAAGAATGCGACCGACTGACCTACATCTCGGCACGGAAACACTATAAGGAACTCTGCCTGCGTAAATCGTCTGTCTCGACCGATGTGTTTGTGAACAAGTTGGAACAATCGCTACAAAGTAATAACAGTAAACTTTTCTGGTCCTTATTGAGACCGAAGATACAATCACAGTCTGGAACTATTACATCACTTGCGTGGACTGCACACTTCGAAGAACAGTTTAATGGTACAAACTATGATCCAAATGAACTTGATTTCTATATTTCTGTAAATGATTTTGTCACGGGTATAACTGACAACCTCATTGATGCAACTACTGATGTCGATAATGGCCTTGATCATGACATCTCTGTTTCTGAAATTCAGGACGCAATCTCAAGTATGCATTGTGGGAAAGCCCCTGGATACAGTGGCGTCCCTATAGAATTTTTCAAGTATGTTCCTAGGCAATGCTTGGATATGTTGAGAGTACTTTATAACATGATTTTGTCAACTGGTGTTTACCCTTCTCAGTGGACGCTTGGTGTCATTATTCCTATACACAAAAAGGGGCCGAATAATAATCCAGCAAACTTTAGGCCAATCACTCTACTTGAGGTTTCTGGTAAAATCTTTTCTAAAATCCTATGTAACAGACTCTCGAAATGGACTGATAATCAGAATATCATTATTCCTGAACAAGCAGGTTTTAGGAAGGCTTTCAAACGGTTGATAATGCTTTTGTAATTGACACCTTCATTAATAAGTACTTATCACTTTACAAAGGTAGACTTTATTGCGCTTTCATAGATCTGAAAGCAGCTTTCGACTCTGTGCATAGACCATCCCTATTTTACAAACTGTGGACTGGTAATGTAAAGGGGAAAATGTTTAGACTTATCAAGAATATGTATGAAAATGTGAAATCATGTGTGTTGGTAAACAATGGTTGTAGTTTTTGATTGCCTCTTTGGTGTACGTCAGGGGTGCCAATTATCACCTTTCTTGTGTTCATTCTTTGTAAATGATATAGCAGAGGTTCTGAGTATAGATAAGCAATATTGTGTTAATCTAGACTTACTTGATCTCTTCAAACTTTTGTTTGCTGATGATATAATCTTATTCGATAGCACTGTTATTGGTCTACAAAAAAGACTAGATAAACTGACGGATTACTGTAATAAGTGGCAACTAAAGGTAAATTCATCCAAGAGTAAAATTATTGTGTTTCGTAAGGCGGGTAGGCTTAAAAAGTACGAAATGTTTTCTCTTAATGGCAGCCCGCTTGATATTGTTCCCAGTTATAAATACCTTGGAGTACATCTTTCTAGCTCTGGTTCATGGTATAAATCTCAAAAGATATTGTCTCACAGGCTTGGAAAGTAATACTTTTGTTACAATCAAAAGTGTATAATTTTCATAAACTTCCCTTGAAAATGTTACTTCATATCTTTGATGTTAAAGTGCTGCCCATACTATTATATGGTTCAGAAAATTCTGTAAACTCATATTAAAGTTAAGAAGATCTGTCCCTAATATAGTTGCGAGAGCTGAACTGGGGAGGTACTCATTAAAGGTAAACCAACATTTGAAAATAATTAAGTATTGGTTACGTTTATTATCCCAGAGTGAAAACAGTATATTACATTATAGTTATGTATATAAGTATAACCGAGCTGAAAAGGGTCTGGATTGTTGGGCACTTAAAGTTAAAAACCTTTTATGCTCATATGGATTTGGTGAAATTTGGAACCAGCAATCTGTTTCCTGCATTCAACTATTTCTATCAACTTTTAGAACACGGTGTATTGATATCGATAATCAGTTTCTCTTTGAATCGTTTGACAAGTTATCTTCCTTGTATTTTTGCAAAACAATCAAGTTATCCAATGAATATGAAAACTATTTAAATGCTGTGAATATTAATGCATTTAGGATTACTCTTTCACAATTTCGTACATCCAGTAGTGATCTTATGATATCACAGGGTAGAAAATTAGGCATATCTAAACGTGAAAGACTTTGTCCATTCTGTATCATCCCAAATGTAGAAACAGAATACCATGTCTGTCTAGTGTGTCCATTCTATAATGACCTTAGAAGAAATTTCTTGCCATGTTATTACTACAAATTCCCTTCAGAGTGTAAATGTAAACTTTTATTTACCACCAAAAATACTTCCATGCTTAATAACCTCGCCAAGTTTACTTTCTTTGCTCTGAAAATGAGGAGCAAGCAATTGTCCATTACATAACCTACATATTTTATAGTCACATGTATATTGTACTAGATATAACTTGCAGAACTTAAACATTGCTACTCGCACTGGTGGCGCGACATCAACATCTTTGTCAAACTATAATTGTAAAATGGGCCTGTGGCCTGATTTACCGAAATAAACTACTACTACTTGATAAGAATTCATTTTGCATAGTATATTATTATCGCCTTAATCCAACACACAGACACTTTAACGCCTTCATTAGGGAATAGGCAATTAGAAATTACGTTTGCATAATCAATGTAAAATAATACTGATATTAAGGACATATGATACTTGTTAAAATATTTGTGTTGTTAGATGTTGCGATGTGTTTTGGTGCAATCTAAATCAAAAGACTTTTTTATCACATGCTAATCTCGGACATATAGGCATGTAATCTAGTGGTTCATGTGTCTCATGACGACAAGTCACGTGTCAGTTTTATAAGTAAACGCTTTACAGATGTGTTCTTCTGAGGTATAAACACCAAGGGAGTTATACCTCTTGCAAGTGTATTCATATCAGTTTGTGTTTCCCAACAGGCACTGCGAGTCCAGTCAAAGCTGATGATACAGGCAATGAAACAGGTAAGACTAACTGGGACAGGTGCGTGATTGATACTTAATGTGTCTTCACAACAGGTAAGACTAACTGGGACAGGTGCGTGATTGATACTTAATGTGTCTTCACACCGCGGACAATGTAAGTGATTTTCCACATTACACTAATATACATCACTTACGTAAACCTTTTTTAACACCTACAGAACATATATCAGTATATATAAATAACTCCCTCTTCTGTTTCAGACGTTCGCTTCATCGTCGTGTGTTGCCTAATGGTGTTGCTTTTGGCATACTCAGCTGTAGTAACAACACTTAATGTCAGGTAGAATTATCTTTGTTGTTACTATCGTTGACGGCTTTTTCCAGGGCAAGAGAGAGAGAAAGGGAAAGTGAGAGAGAGAGAAAGAGAGATAGACACACATAGAGGAGAGAGAAAGAGATTGAGTTGTGTATGAAAAAAATATTCTTTGTTACATTGCATCCGGGACGTTTAGAATAATAGGCCATCAGCGTGAATGTTATATTGATATACAGTTAAAATTTCAGCATTCAGATTACTAGAGATTGATTACTTGTCAGTATTCAGATTCGTACCCTTTGAACGAAAATGTGAGCTAAGCCATGTAACTAACCTTTTTTGTTATATCTTTCAGGCTCAGACGACTACAAGCCCTAACCAAAGCTGAACTTGAGAAACAGTATATGTCACTGGAAACTCGAGGGGAATCATCTGTCTATGACGTCATTGCAGGAACCCATACATACTGCAATGACGTGCAGCCTGGGGGCAGTGATTATGAAAACACCAACATGAATGTCACGAAACACGACGAGAATTCATTGTAGGATGCCAACATCTGCCACGTGGTGTTATTTGACGTATTAAGTGACATATCTCCGGAATATTCCACGTCATCTTCATGCTTGAAAGTCTATGGAAACATAATACATGTTCGTGTCTCGACGTTGGTACAGATGTAAGTCTTGTGGCTCTGGAGGAATCACATACTTAGTGTGCATTGGCATCTAAGGGTTGCACGATATGTGTACGACCGCTTCTGGTAACGACGATATGCACGATGCATCTCATTTAACGCATCTTTAGTTACACATCTCAGTTTCATCATCCATAGCTGTAAGAGGCGACTAACAGGATCCGGTAATCAAGCTTGCCGAGTTAGTTGACACTATATCATGTCATCGTATCCCAATAGTTAGATGCTCATGATGTCAATCACTGAATTGTCTGGTCCAGATATCCAGGTGTTATCAGTTTCTTCGGAAAATCGAGATTGCTTGCTCTCAGACATTGACATTTAATACTTACTGTATAAAAATTATTTTTCTATAGTCTATTTCTGTACTGATTTAGATTTGCAGTGGGTTGCTGTTTGTTCCATGTTTATCACTGTATCATAAATGCAATGCTCGCTGTGACTATTTTATGTGGGCATCGATATATTGCTTACTCCAATATGCATCTCGTGTCATATATATATATAGCTGTATATATATATATATACAGTGTTTTACTTTGTGTTATATATATATATATATATCATAACACACCAGGTAATTACTTCACAACACATCTCGTGTCATATCAATGTATATCCTAAAGCACTGGGTGCCATGGTTTACTCAAGTATTTTGATGTTACTCCTTTCACTCCATGGTTGACATGAGACATTTCAAGCGACAATTGTCCCCTTTTATGACCCAAAACTATAACAGGTGAGGTGAGGTGAAATTGGGTTTAACGTCGTGCTTGAGAACATTTCGCTCATATGACGACGTGCAAGCGTGTGTATGTGTATGTGTGGCTGCTTGTACTAGCCCAGACTGGTTTTATAGTGCTAGCCCACTGAGATACCATGCCGCAGTGAAGCATGAATACACCACTCAGACATATTAAACTGACTCCGAACCGACCAGTCCTAACGCTCTAACCACTACACCACGGAGGCGGTCAAACTATAACTGGCGAAAGCTTTGTTATTGCCCTTCAGTGACGTATGTTACTGTACCAATACAAGGAGTCACGAAGTAATGTTTAACGTTTTTCAGTCGGGAAGCGGGTGTGTCTGAATACTTATAGTTTGTCAACGCGTAGTTACGAAGCAGGTAGAGATAAGAAAATGGGAAAGGCGTTTTACTGTGTGGGCATGTGTATCCACATGCATGTTGCCCATTCACCTGTTGTCAAAATTCTCTTTCCATTTTCACAAAGGTGCTTTGTCGTTTTGTAATATCAGTGATTTTGACTTAGTATCGTTTATTTTGCCCGTTAGTGTATGCGTGGGTTGATGGAGGACATGGTGTACGCTTGTTTCAGTTAATTTTGTCATATATATGAAATGAGAAATCGTACATTTATCTGTGTTAACTTCCCCTTGGACAGCAGCTACCATTAAAAGAGAGAATTGTTGAAAGTTTTTATAGTTAAGTGTAGGGCTAGTAATATTTGGAAAGGACTAATGACATACAAAATCCACTAGCCCTAAGGACTAGTTAAAATGTTTAGTGAGTGTCGATCCCTGCTGTTTTAAAATAAAAATATAAACAGAAGAAAGTTCTGGTTTTTCCTTTTTTCTTGCTTTCTTTCTTAAGTGAGGCAATCCATCGCCTCAAGCTATCAACAAGGTTGATGACAATGTCTCGTCGTGTAGCGTTCCAGATTCGAACCAAGGATGCGCACAATAACATTTCTAGGATGGACTACCAATTGTGGTACTTGCCTGACCAGATGCTCCCAAATGTCCTCAATAAGATTCATATCTGGACTTTTCGTATGCCAGTGTGGGGCGATGGGGTAGCCTTGTGGTTAAAGCGTTGGCTCGTCACGCTGATGACCCACATGTGTGCAATGTGTGAAGCCCATTTCTGGTGTCACCCGTCGTGATATTGCTGGAATATTTCAAAAGGCGGCGTTAAACCATACTCACTCACTCACTCGCGGGTCAGTGCAATCTGTTAACACCCTCCCTTTCCCGAAAAACACCAATGGACCTGACACAATGTGGAACAACATTGTCATCTTGCAGCAGGACGTTGTTGCCGTATTCCTGTCGTGCATGTGGAATCAAATGCCCAAGATATTTTTTATGGATTTAAGCTTCTTTTTATTTCCCACACAACGTTTCGGGACCATTACAGATCCTTTCATCAGATGAACTCTACATACAACTTCTAAATGTCGCTAAAAGACATCATGGAATGGGTTTTTTTTTACCAAAATGTCTCTGTACGAATCCTGCCCCAATGCTTGCCGTGTACCCCCTCTCCAGTAGCCTACGGTTCACTGTTTGCCTGCTAAGCAAGAAGATAACAAGAACACCCCCATCTTTCTCTTAACGCCATGCAACATAAATATCGATGTCGACGTACAAGGCGGAAGTGAGGCCTGTCGTCCCTTGCGTTTTTCGGGGTCTACCTGTACAAATGTTTGGTACTAATGACTGACGATTTCGGGGTAAGTTTTTTATTCTCTGTAGAGGTCTAACGCTTACGTGCAAGTCACGACTTATAGCACGGATGTTAGTGAGTGAGTGAGTGAGAGAGTGAGTTTAGTTTTACGCCACTCTCAGCAATATTCCAGTTATATGGCGGCGGTCTGTAAACAATAGAGTCTGGTGATCCAGTGATCAACAGCTTGAGCATCGATCTGCGCAATTGGGAACCGATGACATATGTCAACCAATCCCGTTAGTCGCCACTTACGACAAGCATAGGTTACTGAAGATCAATTCTAACCCGGATCTTCACGGGTGGCACGGCTGTTAACACCAGGCGCGTAGCAAGCCATTTTTGCTGTGCAAGCCCGATAGGTTGCATAGCTGTATATTTAGATAGTATTGAAGGCTTGTCCAACTTTCGTAGCAAAAATATTGTGTTACCCCGAGCTTTTGTTTGTACTGGTAGCTACGCCCTTGAAAACCAGCCAGACATTCCTACAATCTGGTTACGTAATGCAAGTGACAATGGCGCTGGTATTGTATTTTGTATCAAAATTCGTCTTTACAAATATAAGGCATGGCACATTGAAACGTATATAGTTTGTAATCGTGTCCGTCAGCTGATCAGGGTCGGCCAACAGTGTATCCCAGCCCGTGCACAGAAAACAGCCATACAGTTGTTGAATCGAATCTGGATCCCAGGACTTGATCGCCTTCTCTTCAGGTTTCCTGTCTTGATATTCTGTTTGTCGCACGGAAGGGGATGTACTGTATTGTGGTCGGAAGTTCCAAGCGGTGGTTAGTCAGCAGCTTTGTAGGATCCTTTTATGTTTCCATAGCACCGGTCCAATGTTGTGTTTCTCCTAGCTTGACACTTCACATATTGAGTGAGTGAGTATGATTTAACGCCGCTTTTAGCAATATTCCAGCAATAGTCTGCCCATGTGGGGATTCGAACCCGGGTTTTCGGCGTGACGAGCCAACGCTTTAACCAGCAGGTACAGGTCGGTTTTTCCTCCACAAGAGTGGAGACCAACGTTGAGACACGAGCATGTATTCTGTTTCTATGGAATTGGATTCAATTGATATGTCACTGTAGAAGTAATATATGGTCGATTCCAACGAAAAGTGTACACAGCAGGGTACAAGGTGTCCAAAATAGAATTGCTTGCACCTTGTAATTCTTTTTACCAATGTTAAGTCAACATATACTAGGCAGATAAAGAAACTGTGCATACAAAAAAATTTAATCTAAATTTATCAAACCTGTGTAGACACATAAGGATTTAAACTCAGAGATTAGTGACATGTATCCAACATGCATGCACGTGCCACGTTCCGTGACGTCAGTGGGTTCGTCCTTGAGACGTGCAATACGTTGTTGCACGTTCATTCCGGGAAAGAGAAACACGTCATCGACAAGCTCGCCGAATGTGGTGCCGAAATCATGTCCGCAGAGCCTTGTTTGGGTGGAGAAATGTTGTTTTTACAGATGAGTCCAGGTTAACATTTCCCATAGTGATGGACGTCAACGTGTCTATAGACGCGTGGGAGAACGTTATGCACAGGCCTGTGTCTTGGAGAGGAATCGCTTTGGTGGTGGTTCCGTCATGATTTGGGGTGGAATAACAGCACGCCAAAGAACTCCTTTGGTGATTGTTCAGGGCAACTTAACTAGTGTGGGCTACAGGGATCAGATTCTTCGACCTGTGGCAATTCCTTTTCTGCAACGTCATGACCCTGGGTTAACATTCCAACAGGACAATGCCCGCCCTCATACGACAAGGGTTGCTATGGATTTCTTGCAACACCAAAACGTTGACTTACTGCCTTGGTCTGCAAATTCACCGGATCTCTCCCCGATAGAGCATGTTTGGGACGAGATGGTTCGACGTCTACGCCGTCTTCTTCATCCGCCAGATAACGTCCTTGACCTTGCAACAGAACTTGAGAGAATCGGGCGTGACATCCCACAAGCCTTCCTTGCACGTTTGATAGGCTCTATGCGTCGTCGATGCACTGCTGTTCTCAATGCTGATGGTGGACATACCCGTTATTGAGCTTGTGACATGGTCGTTTGACCCCTGTCCCGCTTGTGGACTCGTGACGTCATTGTGATTGACTTTTCAATTGAAATTCTCCCGACTTGTTATGGTCTCATGATCCCTCCATTAAAGTTAATATGTACCTTTGACATTGTTATCGTACTTATCAACTGGGATAATATTTGACAATGCACAGTTTCTTTATGTGGCTAGTATATTTGCCTCTTACGAAAATCAGTTGCCATCACTAATCTCTAAAAGTAACAAGTTGGTGGATCAGTGAAGTTGAAGGCTCATTTTCTAAATTACCTACAAATACCAACATCATACCTTGTATATCCTGTGATAAGATGGGTTATATGTTCCCTAACATCCAACTTCACTGTTGTTCTGCATGCCCAATATGTTAATGACTATAGAAACTCTGAAGCCATATCATGGTTTCATTCATGTTTTATAACATCAAGCTTTACAAGAATAGAACCATTTTGGTACCTTTGTTTGATGTAATTGAGCTAGCACCACTTAGTGTTCTTTTCACAAACAAATCATTATTACATATCTATCTTATTCATCTGAGAGACAACGGGTGGAACCTTCGGTAAGTACAACAAATTTGAAAATGCATCAATTGCTAAAATTTGGGTGGAAGATAAAAAAAAAGGAACTTGTAGGTAACAAATATCACGTAATTCCTTGTATTTCATAAATGTATATATGTCAAAGTTAATCGTAGCTGGTTATTAAAACATTGAACAGTTTGGAAATTGGTTTCTAACTGCATAGGACGTGTGAATGAAGATTGTTAACAACCAGTTTAAGGCTTTCTCTTTGTTTTGTCTCAGTGTATGTCGGAAAGTAACAATGTCATTTTAACTGATGGAAATCACTCACTATATGTTATGCAGATGAATTGTACGAGGTACATGCGTCAAATTGCTGTAAAGCATGTGCACATGTCGTACATGTGAACATCTGCG